GGTCTCACCTCAGTCGTGGTATTGAAGGTGGAAGAGAGCGCTGTACATTCACTCCCCCCACCTACAATTCCTGCCGGACTTGAGACTCGAACTCGCAACCTTTGGGTTACGAGTCCGACTCTCTAACCATTAGGCCACGACTTCCCCCATGTCTTGCAAAATTGCATGTCTTGCAAAATTTTTGTCTGGCAAAATTTTTGTTTTATAGTAAAAATTTTTGTTTTATAGTAAATTTTTGTTCTATAGTAAAGCTTAGAGTCTTTACTAAATGTGCAGTGTTGGGCGGCTTCAAGGGAACGTGGTTGGAACCACTGCTATAATGGTGTATGAAATGAGACATGAAGTGGCTCAAATTCAGAGATGGTCCTCACTGCAGAACACAAGATCCAGGGGGCGTGGTTGGATCCAGATCCACCTCCTCCCACCTTACATATACCTAAACCTACCCGTCTCCACCCCCTGATCCCTAAACCCCCCCATCTCCACCCCTAAAACTTCCAATCTCCACCCCCTAGATGTGGATCCAGCCACGCCCCCTGGATCTTGTGCTTTGCAGTGAGGGGCTACTGCAAATTAAGGGAACTTGTTGAAGGTCAAAAAGAGTCTTTTTAATATTTGTAGATCCTCAGACCTTTTTTGTTGTTTCCCCCACAGCTCTGTATGCCAAAGGGCTTGTCCTTCCGCACCCAGACAGACATCCGCAAGCCCCAGTTCCACTCTTTCATTATCACGAGAGAGGACGGCTCCCGAACCTATGGCTTTGCCCTCACCTTCTTTGAGGAGGTGACCAGCAAGCAGATCTGCAGTGCCATGCAGACGCTCTACCACATGCACAATGCAGAACAGTACGACATCTTGCACACGCCACCCACACCTCGCAGTCCAGAAGACACCCGTTCCACTCAACAACTGCTCGCTGCTCCCTCTTTGTCTCGACTGCAGCGTTTCAACTCCTACGACATCAGCCGAGACACACTCTATGTGTCCAAATGCATCTGCCTGATCACACCCATGGCCTTCGCCCACGCCTGCAGAAGGGTTCTGGAACAGCTGCACCAGGCCGTCACCTCGCCTCAGCCCCCGCCGATGCCGCTGGAGAGCTACGTCTACAATGTCCTCTACGAGGTCCCGCTACCACCGGCCGGGCGTTCCTTGAAGTTCTCGGGCGTATACGGGCCAGTGGTGTGTCAGAGACCCAGCACGGCTGAGCTGCCCCTCTTTGACTTCCCCCTGCAGGAGGTATTTGAGCTGCTAGGCGTGGAGAACGTGCTACAGCTCTTCACCTGTGCACTGCTGGAGATCCAGATCCTTCTGTACTCGCAACGTGAGTTACTATCACTCATACTTCTGTAGACCTAGTGCCTGCTTATGATTAATCTCAGCTTCAGAGAAATTCCACACAAAAACGGCAAGCTCTAATCTGATTGTCTGGTTTTACGCAATTTCCAGGAGGGAAAGTGTCTGCAGGAAATCTGTGCTGCCAGACTGTACCTATTAGTTCTTGTAAGGAGAAATTGGATTTGACAAAGTTACCAAGATTTGTGGCGCCTTTTAAAGATGCCCAGCAGTGTTTCGGGTTTAGACACTTAGTAGCTCACATGTAAACGCCAGTTATCAAATGTTGGGGGCCTTTCATGTCAGTCAGATGGCCCCTTCCTGTTTAAACAAGTCATTCTTGGCCAGAAGTGTAAAGTGTACCAGACTTTTTGATGAAACTCAAAAGTCTGGCTACATGAGATTTGCTTATTAATTGAAACTTCTGTTTTTGCTCACAGATGCTATTGTTGTGGGTATTTGTTTACAAAAACCTAGTAAGCTGCCTACATAGACTGCATTTTAAGGCATGAAAAATGATTCCCATACTAAATTGAAGATTTTTTTTTTAACAATGTTTGAGTGTGTTATGTTTTTTTATGCTTATTGGAGAATCGTGTTGTTAGCTTAGCATGCGTTAATGTAAACATGCTAGCATCAAATGTCGTTGGAATACACATACATAAAATTAGCGTTGCAGAGTAAATTTAGGAAACTTTCAGAAAATTTTGGAAAGTTTCAGGAAATGTACCATCCCTTTGCAACCTTACAATATAATACATGACTACTTTTGAATGATTGTCATTGGAGAAAAAAATCAGTTTGCAATGGTGTAGTTATGGCATCTACCAGCATTAGCTGACTGTTCGTGCTAACTAAGCAAACCTTGACCCCCTGCATTCTACCAGCTAACAAGTACAATAAATTCTGGTCTATGGCTGTAATGTAAGCTAAAGGCCATTGGCTGTTTTATCCAAAAGGATGAGCCCTTCCATATGTCCCATACCAGCTTGCAAAACTGGAAAATCTCATCAAGGTTCTGTAAATTGTTAATGACTTGGCTGTAATTTGCTCAAAGTCATAAATCATTGTTCTTAATAGTCCAAAGTGAGTAAACGCAGAGACTTTACTTTAGTGAATGCTTTTTGACATAAATTAGTATTGCTTTTTGCTGCCAACTTACACTAGCTTTTTCAAATTAAAGCCAATTTAAATCTGACGGCCTTAACCTAACTTGACAGATACCTGAATAAATAAATGCCATGCAAACGTTGATTTGAGCTCATTTTCTTGATTTTTGGCTTGTTCTGTTTAGTACAGGCTGGTTTTAGACAAGAGAATAAACAGGCGGTTATATTGCAGTGTACTGCGACATGCTCTTTCTCTCTTTTCACACTCTCTCTCCATCTCCGTGTCCGTGTGAGATCACATCTTAGCGCTTTGTTCTCTCTAATTCTTGTCAAGCTCACAGCCCACCCTTTTCTCAGAATCACCTGGTAGTTTTGCAA